AAGAACCATCTTTCTTAGGCATAAGTAATACTGGAATAACACATGGACTCAAGCTCTCACGCACATGTCCCTTTTGCATAAGCTCATTAACTTGCTTTTGAAGCTCTTTTGTCTCTTCAAGGTTGGTTCTATATGCTGGTCTATTTGGAATTGTTTCCCCTGGTATAAAACCAATTTGGTGTTCTATATCCCTTATTGGTGGTAAACCATCGGGTATTTCTTCAGGGAACACATTCTCAAAATCCTGGAAAACAGAAACAACTGCACTAGGCAAAGAGGAATCAACTTTATTAGTGCTAAAGTAAGCCTCCTTATACAAGAGTATAATCATAAGCTATTTTAGGACCAATGCTTTGTTAATCTCACCAACTTTCACAAAGAAGTTCTCTTTTTTTCTCTTTTTTCTTTTCTCACTACCCGAAACTTGCTTTTAACTCTTATATTCTCTCAGATTTTCTCTTTCTTTTTTCTGGTCACTCTCTTTTTTTAACCTTACTTGATCCTCATACACTTGCATTGGACTTAAAGGAGCAAGAGTAATAATGGTTTTGTTATTCATAACCAAGGAGTATCTGTTGGTGTACGTACCCATCATGCATTACACGTCTATCAAACTGCCACGAGAGCCCTAAGAGAATATGTCCAGCTTGCATCGGTATAACAGCACATAACTCCTCATCTTTATACTTTCCAATTGAAAATGGAACTATCACTTGTTTGTTAACTTTTATTTCTCCACAATCATTCAGCCATTGTAGTTTATATGTAACTTCTCCACTAAGATGCTTCAATGTTGCTAAATGTAACTTCTCCACTAAACTAGTACTAGCAACATTTGTCCAACTTCCTCCATCAATAATCATGGAACACACCTTGTCCTTTACTTGCATCTAGTATGAAAAATATTTTCTCGTTGCAACTCCTTATCTTCTTCCTTAATCTTCATATTAAGAGCTCTTCTAGCCACTAAAAGCTCTCCTTCAACTTGGCTGGAAGTGTTTACAAGTTGGTTGGTTTTGGAGGAACCAACTAGAGATTTGAAATGAGACTTCTCTTCATTTTTATTCTATGTTGGTCTTGAAGATGAAGTTGAATCCTACCCCATACGCATGGTACCCTTCCTTTTTAATTGCCTCTCCACCTTTATAGCCATGTGCACCATGTCATCTAACTCCACATAATGTTGTAACTCTACCACATTTGCAATGTCCCGATTTAAGCCAAGCAAAAATCAAGCCATAGTAGCTTCACGATCTTCATCTACATTGGCTCGAATTATGGTTGTCTCCATCTCCTTGAAATAGTCTTCAACACTTTTAGAACCTTGTGTGAGACTTTGTAATTTCTGAAACAAGCCCTACTATGGTAGTGACTTGGAATAAATCGCCTTCTCATGACAGCTTTCATTTCACCTCCATAAAAAAACAAGATCATGAAGTTCCTCTCTCTTTTTTTGCTTTGCTTTGATTATTATTATTTTTGAAACAAGACAATAGCAGAAACAATAAATTCGAATTTTTTATTTTATTTTGAAGTACTTTAACAAGGGGAAGATAAGCAGGTATAGAAGGAACAAGAAAACAAGAAACTTTTTTTTATACCTGAATTAGAACCCTAGAGCTCTGATACCAGATGATGTGAACCTCGCCAAGAATAGTGAGACCCAAAACCAATTTATTTAGGATCGTTTATATAATCAAGAATTTAAACAAGAAATAAAGAACATTGACCAGTTATCTATGGAAGATAAGAACCAAAGGTATAAAGAAGGATAAAGACGCCACACTCAAGAAAGAAGAAGGTGAGTGATAAATCTGGTTTGAACGCCACATGAACAAGCTTCTTGATAAGTTCAGAGTTCTAGATAAGAACCAAAAAGAAGAAACATCTCTATTGATATTATAGCTTCAAAGTCTGATTACAAGAATTGTATCATCCCTTATTTATACTTGGAACATCCCTCCAAGAATAGGAAAAGACACACAAATGAAAAGACACTAATTTAAAGTTGACAATATGGAAAAAGTAAAAGACTCTAACCAGCCCACTAAACACTAATGACACTGAAAATGCTAATTAGTCCCACTAAGCATTAATGACTCTAATCAGCCCACTAAACATTAATGACATTGAAAATTGCTAATTATTCCAATCAATCTCCCTTGCATTAATGGCATTAACTAAATTCTGATTATGATTTAATTTGGACTTGATGTCTTCATGATTAGCCCACATTTGCTGGATCAACCCACTAAGAGCTTCTTTAAACTTCTTGGCCCTTGACCTTGTGATTGGCCCCTTTGGTAAATTGTAATGGATCATTGGGTGTTGTCTCCTTGTTCATATCATTGATGATCATTATGTGTATAATCATTGTAGGTTGCCACCCTCGGACCCCATTTTATAGTATTGACTTTGGTGGTTGCCTTTGGCTATTGATTTCAAGAGTTTTGATAAGTAATTCATGATTTGAATTATGTTGTTGAGCATGATAACTATTGAGTTATTATAATGCATTTTGTGATGAATTTTTCATGATTACATGTGTAGGCACCATGTGATAAAGTTGTTTTGTTAGCTTGCTTATGGTGCAAGTTAACTTGGCATTGACCACTATCAGATAAACTCTTTGTCCTAGGGTTAATCCTCGTGTGTGCTCCACCACGCCCATTGGAGTAATGGTTGGAAATTTGTGAAATGTAATATTGTGTAATATAATATGCTCATGCATTGTGACATGTTGTTTGGTATATGTTTTGATATACCTGTATCTCTGGCCAGTATATAGATTTGTGGGGACTTCCACTTAATAGGTGGAGTAGGGAGTTCTAGTTGGTTTGATGCCATAATGTTGTTTTCGTTTGGGAGCGATACTAGACATATCTCGTGAGTTATATGATGGGTCCCTTGAATTATATCTTGGGGATATGTTCTTGATTCAAGCCCAGTGTTAATTGATTGATGTATGTTTTGTTATATGCATATTATTACTGTTTTGCATCTGAGTGAGCCATTGGATGGAGTGATCCTCCAGGACCCTTGGTTTACGGAGATATATTAGTATATCTCACCCCGCGTTATGGGGCTTACATTTCAGATATCACTAGTGCATTGGTGGACTTAGTGTATGAATATATATGTCTTGCATGTGAGATATTGCCATGCTTGGTTGTTCATGCTTTTGTTCTAAGTCATGTGGTTTCATTTTGGTATGTATTGCATTATGTTGAAAGTTGCAAGAAGTGGTATAGTTATATTGATTGGTTGTTGTAAATTCTATTGTATCATTGAGGACCTTGTGTAATCAATATTGATGTATGTGAAGAAAGGGAAATATGCCTATTCTAGGTGATGATATGATTTTGATTATGGTAAATGCATGAAGATGATGGAATAATGTGACTGAAATGGATAGTAGTTTGTAATATAAGTAATTATGGATAATACCTTAGAGAATAAGTAATGATATTAATTGTCGTATATTGTGGGTTGTAAAAGCACCAAGGTTCGTTGAGCCTTTGTGTGCCACCCTTTTGTCAAGTAGGTACATTTTTTAGAAATTGGAACACACTTTTATAAGTAGGATTAGTTAATAAAACAAAGGAGGTGTCATCGAAATTTCTAAAATTTGGTCAGATTTTTAACTAACTTTGGGAGACCATATCTCCCTCCACAGATGTCCAATTTAGGCGTGCCATATCTCATTTTAAAGCTTAGGATGTCATCTATACGTGTCATTTCGAGTTGTAGAGCGCCATGTGTGTCAAAATGAATGGAGACAGCCCAAAACTGGCCATTTGAACTGCATTCGGGTTGCACCTTGGAAAAATTATATCTCTCTCTCATTTCTTACCCAAATTCGGCTTATGATATATTAAATTGAAGGTCTATATGTCTACTATGCGGTATAAATATTTAAGAGTGATTGGACTTGTAGATCATCTGGAATCAAAGAAACTGTGAGGTATGTTAAGTGTCCTGTTAGAGTTGTGTGGACAAATTTAAAGGGTTAACTTACGGTGAGCGTATTCGGGGTTATAGAACTCTGTTTGAGGCGTGTGATACCTCGTTGGAAATCTTGTAGAGTCTTCTAGTTTAACATATTAAAAGATGAGAATTTATTGATGAGTGGATCATGCCCAGATTTGACAAAACCGAGAAGTACTCTGTTTTGGGCAAAGTTTGAAATTGAGTATTTTTGCTTTGTTGGTTGATGGGAACTACCTAGTTTCATTTTGGTATGTATTGCATTATGTTGAAAGTTGCAAGAAGTGGTATAGTTATATTAATTAGTTGTTGTAAATTCTATTGTATCATTGAGGACCTTGTGTAATCAATATTGATGTATGATATGAAAAGGCAATATGCCTATTCTAGGTGATGAAGTGATTTTGATTATGGTAAATGCATGAAAAAGGGATAACGTGACTGAAATGGATAGTAGCTTGTAATATAAATAATTATGGATAATACCTTGAAGAATAAGTAATGATATTAATTATGGTATATTGTGGGTTATAATAATACCAAGGTTTATTGAGCCTTTGTGTGCCACCCTTTTGTCAATTAGGTGCATTTTTAAGAAATTGAAACACACTTTTATAAGAAATTAGTTAATAAAACAAAGGAGGTGCTATCAAAATTTTTAAGATTTGGTTAGATTTTTACCTAATTTTGAGAGATCATATCTCCCTCCACAGATGTCCAAAATTGAGGCATGTCATACCTCATTTTAAAGCTTAGGAGGTCAGCTATACTATCCTAAAATTTGGTGTCATTTCAAGTGCATATCACCTGTGTCAAAATGAGTGAAGACTGCTCAAAATTATCCATTTGGACCTGCATTCAAGTTGCACCTTGAAAAAATTATCTCTCCCTTATTTCTTACCTAAATTAGGCCTTATGATATGTCAAATTGAGGTCTAAGTGTCTATTATGCCGTATAAATATTTGAGAGCGATTTAACTTGTAGATCATCTGGAATCAAAGAAACCGTGAAGTATATTAAGTGTCCTGTTAAATCAGCCACCTTGTAGGTTTTGATAAGAACATGAGATCTTGGTACACTATTCCTTACAAAACCCAAGTACGATCAACGCACTATGATGCATCACAAGCTACATAATATTTATCCGAAAACAAGATTATCATATATTAACTAAAACTCAATCGACAGCAGCCCAAAGTAACACTCAAGTCATTGAAGAATCCTCTCGAGCATAATATATTAGCAGCATTCCATCACCGCAAACCACCAAGTTTTGATTCAACAGTTCGCTGTCACTATTTTGGTTATGGATATCATGCATATCATTGACAGAACTCTCTAAGCAAATTTTGGAAAACATAAACATACAATAGACAAAAGCGGGAAAGCAATCTTTTCACATTTTGCTTCCTTTCCTTGTTAACTACGCAGAGTTCCCCTCGAGGCCCAATTTTGACGTTAGCCAAGCACAAACCTCATCCATCTCTTCTGGAATTGTGTAGTGGCCAAGCCTGTTAAATGTAGAACCAAAATAGAAGTCCAAACAAAAATTAAAAGGTAACACGGGATAAGGATTCTATAAAAACTAGAACAAAATCTTTGACAGGGATTTTTGTTTATTACCGATCATAAGATTTAAAAGTTACATCCTGAAATCCATTTGAACTTAGGCTCTTTGATGATTTTTCACCAAATTTATAGGGAACCACATCGTCACCTGAAATAATACACGTGCAAATGTTATTCTGTCCATAATTCCAAGTTAAATCACCTATAGTTGTAATGAAAGCAAAAATTAAGATTGATCTCCAGCAATATAGCAGTTTATAAAATGCTTATGCGCTAATAAACAAATGGAAAATTTTGTACCACCTATATGATTGGTATAAACCTTAAACGACGGCAACTAAATCAATATATAGTCGAAATATTACCAAAAATAAAAATAAAAATGAAAAATAAATAGTGGGTGTCTGGTCAGGTGTACCTTCTTTATGTTTTAATGAATCAAGGAATGTTTTGCAACATTTTTGCTAAAACATGACTTGCAGAATAGAAGAAGTGGACTGGTGCAACTACTTGGCCCTTGAAGGATTCACGTTATACACCTTGAAGCTTCTTAAGTAGTGTACGGAAGAAGTACATGTTTCAATTAAGCTTTTTTTTGTATTTAGAAAAGCTTATTGTCAAAATACTAAATCGATAACTTTTAGTTGAAAAGCTGTTTCGTGTAAAAATTGAGCAAAACCAAATATGGTCGAAATTGCAACTTTGCTATGTATATATATAGGAGGAAAAATAATAGTCTCATGATATAGGAGACTACTATTTTATGTCATAGACATATGCTCAGAGTAGAGAAGCCCAGGATCATTTGACACCAATTTATAATATGGTTGAAATTGTAAGCATGTGATTTGTAAGCATGTGACACTCTCAGATAAGGTGTCAAAGGACCTCTCTCTCTCTCTCTCTCTCTCTCTCTCTCTCTCTCTCTCTCTCTCTCTCCTTATATATATATATATATATATATATATATATATATATATATATATATATATATATATATATGAAAAAAATATGTATTCTTTTAAAGGATAGTTATTGTAGTTAAAACTAATATTTTTTAATTAATATTTAAATTAAAAAAAACTCTTTCTCCTCCGTGATTTCTGTTTCTCTCAATATGAAATATAATAGTTTTGACTAAAATGACAATTTTATATCCTTTAAAATGACAAACACTAATGTATATATATATATATATGAATATGAGATAGGATATTATTACTACTAATTAGTGTTACTACCAATGTCACTATTACTTTGTTTCACCGTTAGATCGATTATGTTGATCCAACGATTATATTTATTTCCACCTTTGTATGGTTATAATTCCCCATATTTAATGTGAAAACATTAAATATGGGAAACCATAATCATACAAAGGTGGAAATAAATATAAAGTATTAAATATAGAGAGAAGAAAAAAGATTTTTAGAAAGTTAAATCATAATCGTTGGATCAACATAATCGATCTAACGGTAAAACAAAGTGGTACTGACATTGATAGTAATACTAATTGGTAATAACAATATCCTCTCTCTCTCTCTCTCTATATATATATATATATATATATATATATATTTATATATATATATATATATATATATCCTACAGCCTCAACTCTAGGGCATTGTTATATGTTCAGTATAAAGGATACAGTGTGCATCCCATACAGTCCTTAGGTGTGTGGTTAGAGGAATGCTCGTCTGTTAAGGGTGTTTCCTTGCCCCCAAATTAGATATGTGAAAACATTCCGTCTTTGGCTTCTATGTGTTTTCTTCATGACGGCTGCTTCAAGGGTGATGCTATCCAGGATCTGCAGCCAGACTCAACAGGGTTGCAGCATTTAGTGTTTTTTAGCCCTGGTTTTTTGGATTTGCTTGTTTGTTTTTAATTTTTCCATTATGGAGGATTTTTTATCGGCCCTCTAGTTGTTCTATACCAATTTTCTCTTCAATGATTTCTCCTATGAGAAAATATATTCTAATTTCATAGAATTACCTTCTCCATGACAAAGCAAAATGGGAAAGGATTGAGCACGCCTTGTGGCTTCATTTACCCCTTGTAACTTGTTACTCAAGGTCCTAGACAAGAACAGAAATATAAAAACTTCATTAAATTTGTATACAGAAGAGGGGATTGGTAGAATCAAACTAACATGATGAGTTAAAATAGAACAGAAGGCCAGACTTTGCACATGGAAGCCAGCCACTTAAACCAACAGCTGCACTTAAGTTGGCTGGATAAGGATTGTCATTCCCATATTTCCCAGCAGTAAAGCAGGATGCAGAGTAAAGGGCAGTGGCTGCTCCCATGCTAAACCCTCCAACGCCAAGCTTAACTGCCATACAAATATCAGGCTTGAAATTAATATTAACACAATTTTTGTTTTCCTGTGGTTGACAAGAAGCAATATACATACAACGAAACAAATATAAATAGTATTATAATCACGTAGAATGAATTAAGAATTTCATTGCCCTCCTACAGCATCTGAAATTGAGGATTTACATTTTCAACCTATTCATAAATGTAGTAAGGTTTAGGGAAATTTAACCATATATATCAAAATTTATCATTTGACAAGGACAAACAAAATTTGCTAATACCATTATTAAACGATAAGTTATGCAAATGTGGTAAATCATTTGTAAAGCAAACAATTCAACGCAGATAAGTTATGTTGACCAAATTTGCATATCTTTTTCTGCAAGAAACAGAATTTAACTGAGATGAGATCTCCAAGTCAGCCAGCTTTATAATGTCAACATGGGTCGCAAAAGTTTCAGAAGTTAACATTTAATTATCCAAAAGAAGGATGCAAAATGCTCTTTTACCATTTTCCCCTTTTATTTATTATTGTTATTTTTCTTTCTTTATTATATTCTTTCTTTTGGTTCGCAAGTCCATGTGTGATTGTTAGATTACCTCAATTTAACAAAGATCAAGCCAAGGAAATTTTCTAAGTAATTACAAACTTGAATACGAGTAAATTGAACTAGAGTACAACTATTAAGTTCTAAGTTTTATGAAAACGTAGCATCAAAATAAACATTAGGAAACAAAACTTGGCATTGACAGATTAAATTTCTTTTAAAAAAGCATGAAATGAAGTTACAAGAAAAAAATTGCATCAAAAAGTCACTAGAGAAACCTACTGTCTGCAGGTTCTGTAGACAACAAATTTGCAACATGTGCAGCTGCAGCATCCAAACCTTCTACGTCATCAGGAGCATCTTCTGAAAGGTCCCCCACATCAAACCCTAAGACATTCAAGTTGCAGTTAAGAAATTTATCAAAGACCAATTTAAGGTCATTTTAAGTTTTAAACCCCAAAATATCAGCTCTGTCCTCAAATACATTTCCATACTCCATGTATTACAATAACCGTGGGAAGGATGCTAAATTCTACTATCAATAAGATGTGATTATTGTGCAACATCTATATGGAAGCACACAAGCCTGTTTATTATATGTAAACCATAAACGCTAGAGGTTGATTATCATTATGAGAGCCTACAAAACAATCAAACTTACAAGCAGTAGAGGGAAAGCCACCAAATATAGATATTGGCTGAGTAGGAGCGGTTGGACATATCCATTTAATCTGCATTATATAATTAAAAGATGTGATCTTACATGCAAATATATGCAAATAGGTATTAGTCATATATGTTCTCCTTTAATAATTCAAAGTTCCTGTGTCCTTACGTTTGGAAGAGCAAGGGTCTCCAATAGCTGGGACCAACTGCAAAAGTAAAGCAAAAAATGAGATTCTGTTCTGTCTTTTGAAGTATAACCACATGATTAAAACCATGCGAAAATATCAAGTTGGCTCAAATTGTTATTCCTACTTCCTTTGTCTGATTTATGTCTCTCTCTCTTTTGGATCATGTTTTGCGTTTGATAAAAAAGAACTGCACTGGTCTCAACTCTCAAATTGGACATTTTAAATATTACATCTTCATAAGCTTTTTCCTTTAATCATCAAATACACTAGGAGATTTGAAGGAATGAGTAAAGAGATGGATGTCAAAAAAAAAAACTCATTTAGACAGATTATTTAAAACTTGCATCAAAACTCAAGTAACAATATCAATTACCAACATGCTCTCAAATCATTCTTTGATAATGTATATTTTGTAACATATTGGAAATAAAATTTCTCATGAAAGATGGTTAATTTAATAGTTCTTGTTAGAATAGTTGTTTAGAATAGTTAAGTGTATATAATAGAATAGTCCCACATCTTGTGGGCTTAGCTCATTAGGTCATTTAGTCTCTTTAAATAGAGAACTCTTGTACAGTTGTAATATACAATTATTCAATCTCAAGTTGGTACCAGAGCTATTTTTTCTGGGGATCCGCTTCCGCTAAAACCCTAAGCCCATTGCTTGGGTGTTCTCTTCTACTTTGTCGTGCGTCCTTCCGGCAAGTCTTCATCATTCGTGTGTCCTTCCGGCAGATTCTCTACGTCGTTCGTCCCTCCGGCTTATTTCTTCAACCGTCAGAACCACCTTTCACCGCCAGAACCACTGTTCGTCACTGTTCACTGCCACCAAAGTACTATTTCAAAGTCAATTTCAACCGGAAAAGCCTGCGATTAGATCCCTCTCTCTCCAATGACCTGTTATATGGAAGACCCATCATCGGAGGAGCCCCCACGCGCCTTCATGCGCAGCTCCCTCTCCCTGCACGTGGTGCTCACACGCCACCCTTCATCGGTGCGTGTGCACTGTTCCGGGATCCTTTTTCGGTCGTTCTGGGACAGAATAACTCGGTTTTTCCTCCTTTTTCCAGATCTGTGCTTGGTTCTTTGTGGGTCTCACATTCGGCGCATGTTTCTTCTTGATTGACTATTGTTTTCCTCTGTTTACTTGGTTCTGCAAATTTTTCTATTTTGTTTTAATGGTAGCATCATCCCTTAATCACTCGGAGGTTAATTCTCCTTCTCCTCCTGCCAAAACTTCCTCAGATATCATCTCTGTTAATGTTGGGCCCATTACCTCTTCCAAACCGAAGGGTTCTGATAACTACAAGAATTGGGCCACCTTTGTTCGTGTCTGGTTCTTTGGACAGGGGCATGGGCGTCATCTCACTATTCAACCTTCTATTGTCCCTAAGGCTGAGAAATCTGATTGGGAAAGGATTGATAATCAACTTCAAAGTATTCTTTGGCAGTCTATTAATCCAATTGTTTTGGTTATTTTCTACTCTTTTCAGACACGCTGACGTGTGGGAGGAAGCCAAACTCCTCTCCACTAATGATATCCAGTAGCTCTACTTTATCATGTCTCAACTCATGAATTTGAGCAAATCATCTGATATTTAGATGGAAACATATGTTGGCAAAAGTCGATCTTTGATGCAGGCATACTTGGAATGTTGCCTTACCCTTATGATGCTTCTTTCATATCGAAAACAAGTGGAACGTCTCTTCGTGGTTACCACTCTTTTTGGTCTTCCCAAGGAGTATAATGTTGTCCGTGACACTATCTTGACTAATGGGGATCCTAGTCTATCACTGACCTACCAACCCTTCTTGAATCTCAATAAGAAACCAATTTCTACTCCCGATTCACCTTCTGTTGTTGATTCCACTGCTCTTGTTTCCCATACTGGCATTCGCGAGAACAATGGAGTGGTCGCGGTTGTGGCCGGAGCCCTGGTGGACTTGGTCAGAGACCTCGTTGTAGTTATTGTCAGCAACTTGATCATTTTGAAGATCGTTGTTACACGAAATATCCTCACTTGCAACCTTCTCTTGTTGTGAATATAGCTCAGTCAGACACTGCATCGTCTGGTTAAGTCTCTCTCTCACCTGCGGACTATGCTGCACTTCAAACTCTTCTCAGGAAGGCTTCTCCTCAGTTTCAGCCCTCCCCTCCAGATACTGATAATCTCGTTGCTTGTGTCTCTCATTTTACATCGCTTGGTCCTTGGATATTTGACTCAGGTTCTACCGATCACCTCTGTGGTAATAAAGAACTCTTTACATCTCTTATTTACTCTGATCATTTACCTTCCTTTACCCTTGTTAATGGAACTAAATCCCCAGTTCGTAGGATTGGACAAGCTCGTCCGACCTCTACCTTGACCTTGACTGTTTATTATATTCCTAGCATCCCTTATAACTTAATTTCTATTAGTAAATTAGTCCACTCCCTCACTTGCACCATTACTTTCTCTAACCATTCTGTTTCTGTGCAGGATCTGGGTAGAGGGAAGACAATTGAAGTGGGCCGTGAGTCACGGGGGCTTCGCTATTTGGTTGTGCCTCGTCTTTCAGTGGCATGCTCTCTCACAGAATCTCCACAACTTATCCACAGTCACCTTGGTCATCCAAGTCTTTCAAAATTACAGAAGATGGTTCTTCTTTTATCGGGTCTTCGGTCTTTAGATTGTTTGTCGTGTCAGCAAGGAAAGCACACACGCTCCTCCTTTGCCAATCAAGTCAATAAACGAGCTGATGCTCCTTTCTCTATTATTCATTCAGATATTTGGGGTCCAAATCATACTTAGTCTGTTTTAGGTTTTAGGTATTTTGTTACTTTTATTGATGATTATTCCCGTTGTACCTGGATTTATTTAATGAAAAATCCTTCTAAATTATTTTCCATTTACAAAAAGTTTTCTGATGAGATTCATACTCAATTTGGTGTTTCTATTCGTATTCTAAGTAATGATAATGCTAAGGAATATGTTTCTTTTGACTTTTCTAATTTCTTGGTTAAACAAGGTACTTTACATCAAACCACTTGTCCTCACACTCCATATAACACCTCATAAATCTAAATGTGAAATTATATGCTATAATGTGGGTTAAAAGGGAAGGATTAATGAAAATCCGAAGATTAAGGCCAAACTGAGTGAAAAGGGCAAAATGGTAATTTATCAAACATGTATCCCTAGGCATGAAAAAAATTGAGTAGAAGACCTCAAATGATAAAAGTAATGCCGAAAATGGATTCAGGACGAAAAATCGAGTGGATAGGCAAGTTTCAAAAAATTTGAGGAATAGTAATTTTTCCGGTGTAAAATATTGCGGTATAATTGTACCGTTAAGCGTGAAATTATGATCATTATTTTTATGAAGTAAAAATATGACGTGAACAAGAAAAATATGTAGGTTATGAATTTGTGGGTTAAATTAGGTGATTAATTAAAGTTAAATCGCATGTGGGACCCACCTATGACTTAAGTGACTTATATGTCACCATTTCTACACCTTCTCTCTCCTAGTTTCTTCTTCTTCCCCGTGTTCTTCTCCTCCATAGCCGTGAGAGACAAAGAATTCCCATTCCTTGTAACTTCACCAAATCTTAACCAAATCAAGTGATCTTTGGCTTGAAACTTGATGCAAATCACCATCTAAAGCCATTGGTGGTGCTCTTGAGCCATGAAAACCATGGGATTTAGTGAAAAACCCTACCCAAACCCGCGACCATGTGTTGAAAATAGGTGTTCTTGGTGTTGTTTCTTGAGCTATTGTTTGGGTATTGTGTGAGGAGCCTTTGACCTTGATTCTTGGTGAGTAGCTCTACTTGCAAGTATTTAATTTGGTGGATTTGAAATTGATGACCTAAAGCATGTGTATATGGACTGATATAGTTAGAGAGCTCAAATTGAAAATGTGTATGAGATAAAAGTAGCTTGGAATGATGTGTTTGAGTGATTAAACTCATAAAAATTATTGGTGAAATCATTGGATAACTTAGGAAAAATTTGTAATGGATGTTGTCATGGAAACCATAAATGTGTTGTGTGAAAATAGAATGGTTAGTTGTTGTAGAATGTGGTAATATGATTGTTTGAGGTGTATGATTGTTGAATTGGTAATTGAGATGAGGTATTGATGAATGTGATGTTTAGAAACCTTTGATGATGTATGATGAATGGGGGTAGTTGGGAACCTCAAATGATGATGCTCCTTTGGAGTTATATACTTAAAATGCCAAATAATGATGATTCATGTAATAAAATTTATTGTGATTTGGGATTCCATAACTTGGTGTATTTTGGTGGAAATTGGTGAAAATGAGAAATGTGAACATGAATTGTGATGGTTGGGAATGTTGGTAATGTGTAAATAATACGATTATATGATGAGTATGAGTGTGGAATTGGATTGAATACCCCTAGGTTGATGGGAGTGTGAAATTTGACCTATTGAGGTCATTGGTGGGGTGATGGTGTAAAAATGATATAAGTGATGTTGTATGATGGCAATTGGGGCTTAAATGAATGGTAGGTTGATATGGTGTGGTTAATTGGCCAATGATGATGAATTAGGAAAGATAAGAGTAAATAACCTTGGCCTAAGTGATTCTAATTGATTAAGAATTGTGAAATTGATGTGTTCTTGTAAATGGTTGATGATCATGTTGTTGATCATATAGGTTGCCTCTCTCGGACGCTATAGAAGCGGAATTAAGCTTGGAGCTTACGTTGAGGAGCATTGGCTTCGGAATGAGGTAAACCTTTGGAACTTGAGTTTTATTCCCTCGTGTGTTCCACCACACCTAGTGGAAGGTTGTGGTTGGATTTGATGCCTTTGATTACGTATAAATGTATGTTCATGCATTATTGACATGATTGTGTGACATGTTTGGAACATGTTGTGTGATAAAATTGTGATCTCTGGCCAGTAGATGTGTGTTGGTTTGGACTTCCGCTGGAGATATCCTTTGGGGATTCCGGTCGGGTTGTTGCCGTGGAACCGACTCTGGGAGCGGTACCAGGATGATC